CGAAATTGACGCAGCGGAGGCGGCCAAAGAACTCAGCTGACACCATCAATGCTGCAGAAGTCTCTCACACTGTATCCTCCGCACCACCGACGGGCTCGGCCTCGTTGCAGGCGGTGACGATGCGTGCCAGCGTGTGCCGTCAGCTGCTCGCTTCGGTGGCCGGGCCGCGGCGCCCGACGAGGGCGGCGCTGGCGCGGTCGCTCTTCTCCTTCTCCGACTCCACCAAGGCGCCGGCCTCGGTGCCGCTGACGCACGAGCTGTTCGGCCTGAAGCGAGCCGACCACGCCCAGGTCACGGCCGACGACATCAAGCGGCTGGCGGCGCTGGTTGGCGGCCGCGTGGAGACGGACCCGCAGGACCTGCTGCAGTACAACACCGACTGGCTGCGCTCGCTCAGAGGTGGGGACGCGGCCGCGCGTCGTGCCAGCCTGTCATGCCAAAGTGTGGTGCGGGGGAGCGGCAGAAGATGTATGTGTTCTCTGTGTGTGGGAGGCAGCGATGCAGCACATTCGGGATTTATACACACGCGCGCACGCGGTATACACACGCGCGCACGCGTAACGTCGTCAACGCGCGCGCGTTGCAGCCACTCCGATTCGTGGCCTTTGTGTCGCGTGGTTCTTCAGTTGTTGACACTTGGCGGGCGAGGATTCACGAGTCTTGTCATTCGCATAGCTCTTCGATGCTCGCCGTCGGCTTTACCGCCCCGCGAAAGCTCCTTGTGACACTGCCTCTCGCTCTGCGTCAGGCTCGTCGCCATGCGTGGTGTTCCCGACGACGACGGAAGAGGTCTCTGCCGTGCTACGCTACTGCCACGAGCGCCGCCTGGCGGTGTGCCCCCAGGGCGCCAACACGTCGCTGGTCGGTGGCAGCATCCCCGTCTTCGACGAAATCATAGTCAGCACGTCCAGGATGTCCGACGTGATCGAGGTGGACGGTGATGGCGGTGAGTGGGGCGGCGGTGTGGTGGTGAGTGGGGCGGCGATGTGGTGAGTGGGGGGCCGGCGAGTGGGGCGGCGGTATGTTGGAGAGTGGGGCGGCGATGTGGTGGAGAAGTGGGGCGGCAGTGTGGTGGCTGAGTGGGGTCGGCAAGGTGGTGTGGTGGTGAGTGGGGCGGCAGGTGTGGTGTGTCGTGGGGCGCGGTGTGGTGATAGTGGGCGGCGGGTGGGGGAGAGTGGGGGGCGGGCGAAGTGGTGGTGAGTGGGGCGGCGGTGTGGTTGTGGAGTGGGGGCGGGCGGTGGTGGTGGGAGAGTGGGGCGGCGATGTGGTGGTGAGTGGGACGGCGTTGTGGTGGTGAGTAGGGCGGCGGTGTGGTGGTGGTGAGTGGGACGGCCCCCCAGTGGCAATGTTGGCCGGATTGACCTGCTGCAGCGCAACGCGAGGTCTTCTTCGCTCCCCGCAGAGGCCGGGATGGGGAGTGGGGCACATGCATCGGTTCAGGTCAGGACCACATGCAGTAACACGCAATAATCGGCCAGTATGTCTACCTTGTGAAAAGTGTTAACGCCTATCTGGTCAGCTATGTTACGGATGACTTTCGCGCTACCCTGAGCTAGATTTTCAGGTCCGGTGACAGGTGCCTATTTTTACATGCGACCTCTGCACCCTACTCTATGAGTCAGGCCATTTACGATCTGATGAACGCTTCGGTGGCCCACGTCCCATCCCCACAAATTTATTCGCAGTGTGCACCCGTCCTCTATCAAGCAATGTCACGTAATGTTGATGGTCTCCCTTTGATATGGTATGCTTGCATCTTCATCCCCCACCTGTACGTGCACAGCAGCCTGAACCATTCCAGGCACGGCATGGAGCATGTGTTTCGGCTGTAATGTAGCATGCCACCGAAACATGCAAGTCAGCCTACAACGGGATGCTCGTAGAATGATCTCAGTGACACCAGTGTTGTTAATAGTAGTAATAACAACGCTAATATTGATCACGGTTATCACAATTATCCCTGCTATCATTATGATCGTTTGCCGCCCGGCTGCCAGGGACGCTGACGTGCGGCGCCGGCTGCTCGCTGACCCAGCTGGAGAAGGCGGCGGAGAGCAAGCACCTCTACTTCCCCGTCGACCTGAACATCCGCGAGGCGCAGCTGGGCGGTATTGTGGCGGCCGACATGGCCGGCCCGCGCACCGCCCGCTACGGCAACCTGCACGGCAACGTGCTCGGTCTGGAGGTGGTGAGTGGCCTGCCGCCGGCGGGGGCGGGGGGCGGGAGCGGGAGCGGGAGCGGGAGGCGGGAGCGGGAGCGGGAGCGGGGACGGGACGGGGACGCGGGCGGCGGCGGGAACGGGGGCGGGGACGGGGACGGGGACGGGGAGCGGGGGACGGGGACGCGGGGACGGGGAGCGGGGACGGGGACGGGGACGGGGAGCGGGGACGGGGAAGGGGAGCGGGGACGGGGACGGGGACGGGGACGCGGGCGGCGGCCGGAACGGGGAGCGGGGACGGGACGGGGAGCGGGGACCGGGGACCGGGGACGGGGAGCGGGGACGGGGGACGGGGACGTGGGCGGCGGCGGGAACGGGGACGGGGACGGGGACGGGGAGCGGGGACGGGGACGGGGACGCGGGCGGCGGCGGGAACGGGGACGGGGACGGGGACGGGGAGCGGGGGCGGTGACGGGGACGGGGACGGATACGGTGATTGGAGCGGTTGGGGCGCTGAACTCGGTCAGGCTCACGCAGTGTTTTTTTTGTTTCTATGCTGGGTGGGGGTAGAACCGAAGGGAGACCCGGGCGGCCATGGTGACCTGCTTGGGCGCTGCATAGCGATCATGATGGTAGGAAAATGTGCTGGTTCGAATTGGCGTAGCGTTCCATGCACAACTGAGTTTGTTAGCAATTTTTATCCTGTGACGTCTTCGCATTAAAATTAGATACAAAACTAAAGGACTGCTGGAAAAATGGCGATGGAATATGATCGAGTGAATATTATGAATGAAATAACGAATAGCAAAAATATATCACCCAATGGCACCGCACTGGCCCACTTCATGCCCAGAACACTGTAGTGGCCCCGCACTTGGGAAGTCCTGGATCGCCCGACGCAAGGACAGACAGGTTCGGCGTGGTATTGGCTTCATCGGACCAGGCCATCTGTGATCGGCGAGTGTGTACCGATCTGCATTGTCTGGCGCCAGTTTCAACTAGCCCGCCGTCTTTTTCAGGTTCTTCCCGATGGCACCATTCTCAACTCGATGTCTACCATGCGGAAAGACAACACCGGTTTTGATCTCAAGCAGGTGTTTGTCGGATCAGAAGGTAGCTTGGGGATCATCACAAAGGTGCGTCAGTTGCATGAACCACGCTCATTGTCTCGTGTGATATAAGCAGTTTAATTTTTGCGCGGTGGGCGGCTGCCTTTTTTGATCAGCGGGTATGATTCGTTTGCTGGAATCATTCCTCTATGCACTCCGTTTCATAACGCTGAACATTCAAGCCACGTTTCGAGTGTCTGACGAGGCAGGCGACAGCTATGGCCGCTCACCTCTCGATTCTGGTGGCGGCTGGACGGAAGGCAAAAGCAATCGGGTGTCGAGTCCCGCTGCCGCCACCTTTCGACCCCGAGACAGGTCATCGACCTGCGACCTGGCCGGTGGCGGTGATCCATGCACCACTCGCACCTCATCCGCCAGGTGGCGATGGCGTGTCCCCCGATGCCGAAACACATCAACGTGGCCATGGTGTATACGGACAGCTTCGACAAGGTGCTGCAGGTGATGCGCATGACCAAGGAGCACCTGGGAGAGCTCGTCTCCGCCTGCGAGTTCATGGACAACGTAAGGGCAAACAAGATCGGAGGCCGTTTGTAGTATGTCAGGACTGATATACGTGCTATGGTGTGACGTGGCCCGCCGCGGCGTCCCCATTAAGCTGGGCAGAGCTAGGAAATCAGTCTTGTTAAGTTTCAGATAGCGTCTGCCTTTTCATTGTTATCGTGATACTAGACCTGCGCATCCACAGGACTGAATGGTCATTGGCTTTTGTGGGGGAAATAGCCGGCTTCTCACGAGGTCGAGTTGAATTCCCTGGGAAAAGCCTAATGCTAGCATAATTCGGCACCAAATCGATGTCACGGTTCTATGCAACATGAGCAAGTTCATCGCTTCACCAGAGCACCCCATCTCACGTGAGTTTTTGCCTGCGTGATCCCGGGCTCCCCCTCCCCTCCCTCCCTCCCGCCCCGTCCCTTAACTGGCATATCGCTCGGTTCTCGGCACCAGGAGGCGGTGATGACGGTGAAGAAGAAGTACCTAAGCGTGTGGGGCGTGCCGAGCAAGCCGTACTACGTCCTGATCGAAACAGCCGGACAGTGTGACACCCACGACGAGGAGAAACTGAGGAGGCTCTTCAACGCACTCAAGGACAAACAGCTGATCATGGACGGCCAGATCGGACCGCTCAACTACGACGACCCCACCTTCGTCGAGGTCGGTGGGGGAGGCTCTGTGGCGGTGGCAGTCCCAGAGCTCGCTTGGTTGTTGTGGGCTGTTGGTTGTCGGGTGGTCCCTCTTGTCGTTGCTGCAGGTCCGGATGCTAGCAGTGGAGGGTCGGCCGCTGTCAGCCGTGATGCTCGAAATCGCGCCGTTGACGTATCCGTCAAGGCGATCTCGTTCTAGGCGGTCTTGTTGACGTTAAACCATCAGTGGCAATCATTTTCGTGGGTAGAAAGTGAAACCCATACTACTGAATGAAGATCTTCGGCATGCAATGCCGTTTGCTGCTCGACTCTCAAGATAGTTGTACCATTTTTACCGGACAGACAGGTTTAACAGTCGCGTCACAAAGTTAACCGATATATCTGCCCATTCGGCGCATCGGGCTGTTGCGCTTTACGTGCTGCCGGACCTGCCGCAGCGTCTGTGGAACATCAACGGCCGGATCCTGGCTGCTCTATCCCGTGCCGGCAACGTCTACCACTACGACGTGTCGCTGCCGCACTCTAAGCAGTATCCGCTCGTGGAGAAGCTGAGGACGGAGCTCGGCGACGATATTCGGGCGGTGAGAGGTGCAGCCGGTCATCAGCGGGCGCTGACGATCTGAGAGCACTTCCTTCGGCGTTCGAATGCGGTGTGGGTGTGGGAAAGAAGCGTGGCAGACACCGCTGCGTGTCGGATACATGTGTTCGCGGTCCACTCGAGGTCAGGCTGGCCTGTCTGAACGCCGCTGGAGTTTGCCATTCAAGTTCTGGTTACTGGGCTGCCGTAGGATTCGGACCAGCTCGCATTGATGTGGGAGGTGTTTCAGTTTAGCTTATGCGTTTTTGTAGACCTTATGTTGTTTATATGTGTTCCTGTTCGTGACACTAATTACGTGTTCGCAAATTTATCGGCTGAATCTCTTTAACTAGCTAGCTTATGGACAGTGGAACTGATACGATCGTGCGTCGAGTATTTGTATCAGAATCCGACCCAGCTTGTATGGACATGGACGGTTTGGCGGCGCGTGACTGCCGTCTCAAGTGTCGGCAGTTCCACCGGTGTCCCCCCACCCACCCCGGTGGCATCATCGCCCCGCCAGGTGGCCAGCTTCGGGCATCTGCTGGACGGTAATCTGCATCTCGCGCTGCTCTCGTCCGCCTTCTCGCCGCGCGCCGCCGACACCCTGGACCGGCTCATCACCGAGTACGTGACGGCCGCCGGCGGCGCCGTCTCCGCCGAGCTCGGCTGCGGCTTCAAGAGCCGGTAAGTGGTCCCAGAGAAGGCGGCGATGACGTCATTAGTGCGAGACAGAGGACGGGAGTGGTCGCGGGGAAGGTGGCGATGTCATCAGGCGGGGCAGAGGGTGGGAGTGGTCACATGGAAGGCGGCGATGACGTCAACCGTGCGAGGCAGAGGAAGGGAGTGGTCGCGGGGAAGGCGGCGATGACGTCATCGGTGCGAGGCAGAGGAAGGGAGTGGTCGCATGGAAGGCGGCGATGACGTCATCGGTGCGAGGCAGAGGGTGGGAGTGGTCGCGGGGAAGGCGGTGATGACGTCAACCGTGCGAGGCAGAGGGCAGGTGTCGAGTGGTGATTTGGCGGGATTCTGTGCCGGGGCCAGCGGTGTTGGCTTTGGTTATGGTGGCGTACGCTCCCATCAGGAAATAAGGAAGCGTGACAATGTTTTGTTATGTGTTTTCTATTTATGGTTTGTCTATTGCTCATTTTTTACATTGCCTAAGTACGTTTTTTCACATGTGTTGAATTGCGCATGACTTGTGGTGTTTCGTGTCGACGCACGCGTCTCTCGGCTGGTCTGTGCCAAAACTAGTGCACAACTTACATCTGTCAATGCCGATTCATATCTGGAGCTGCAAACGCACTCCGCTTCTTACGCGTCGCTGCATTACCGCACGGAGCGTGGCTGCGAACGTGAGCTTTTTTGGCATGAATAGATGTCGTGCAGTTTGATTTTTGTTAGCGCTCGTAGTCTGCTGTTCGCGGCGTATGCCAGTCTGTACCATCCGCTCAAAACGTCTGCTACCAATGCCGTTCCGTCGTCAGAAACCTTGGCGCCTCCTGCAAGGACAAGGCGGAGATGAAGCTGATGAGACAGATGAAGGCGATGCTGGACCCGCACGGCATCATGAACCCATACAAGGTGTTCCCGGATGTCATGTAACGCCCCCTACCACGTCTGCAAGCCTGCTGGCGCCTGGGAAGGCACGCACGCTCTGCGCGTATGCCTGAGGCGCCAGGCCGGATCCATGGGCCTGCGTTACCGGGGGCTGAAGTGAACGGAGTTTGGAACGCAGGGTGTTCTCTCTGCTGCGAGGCTGCTGGTTTCTGTTGATAAGTGACGAGTTGGCTTACTTCTGGCAGATGGAACTGCGCGATGTATTTGCAGATGCGACGAACTCTATTTTGATAAGAATGCGCTGTGTGAACGTGGTTGGAAGTTTCCAACATATAAGCGTTGGGATCGTCTTTACAATAAAGTGATAACGTGTGCCTTTGTCAGCATCTCTCAGCGTAGCCATCGACGGGTGCAGAACTACAACATGATTACCAGCAGCGTCTCACGCGCACATGGTTCGCACCTCTCCCTTATCAAATGTTGGGCTCGAACATCGCAAGAAAAATTAACTGGCGAGGGGTACAGCATTTGCCTTGCTTTTTAAGATGCAACGCGCCGAACGCCATTGAGTCACGAGAAAAGACAGGATGAAGATCTGCAGCTGCTGTTTCGCTCCTTCCCCACCCCCATGAAATTGCTGTTGGTGCATCTTCGAGGCCTGGCCCCACCCGTACAAAAGTCCTGTGCACCCCCTGCTTAGCAGCAATAGGCGATGTAGTGATACCCACCAAACACTAACCCAGGCTATTAAACGGTCCCAGGACGCAGAAGGGAACAACTGAAGGTAAGTTGGCCCGCAGTGTGTGGTGGCGGCGATAAAAGCAAAGTAACGACCGCCCTTCCGCTGAGTGGCCCAGCGACCCGGGGAATTCGACTAATGCCTGGAACGACACCAAGACATCTCTCGGTGAGAGGTACTCGTCCCGTCGAATGGGCCCAATCGCAGCGGCCGGCGTTGATGCTGTCCCCGCCCCCCCCCCCCCCCCCCTCTCTGGCTGACGGTGGGTGGCAGCGGCGGCGACTGGGTGGACTACTGTATGTCTGCAGGGCATAGTGGTAGCGAATAAAGCCGGGGAGGGGGACGCGACATCTCCGTTCACGCCAGCTGATAGGCTGGTCGTGCGGTGAGTGGAATGCATGTGCCACGCTGAAACGGTTGTATGCCGTATGGCCAGACGCAGAGCGCATTTTCTTGTGATGACGACCGACCCACCCGGAGTGTTTTTCGCCTAGAGGGGTGAGGAAATGCACACTTTTCGTGCTATCGCAGGAAGAGGGCTTGTCGTCTTCTCTATTACTTCGGTGATGTTTCTTTCTCCGCAGGCCAGACACATGTGACCGGGAAGTGTGCGGGTGGGGGAGGGTCTGGGTATCACACACGAAACAATCTCAAGGGCTATGTATTTCCGAAGCCGAGCGATACTTGGGATAGAAGAGCGTATCACATGGTTTGACGGGGCTACAAACATCCAGCCTCTACACTGCTTCGGAGGGACGGAGCCGGTGTTGCTAAAACAAACACTGAAGAATCACTTTAAAGACAAACAGCGACCAATCGTCTTTGTAGCTTTTAGATGCACGCCTTTTGAAGCAAGAAGAGCCTGGAATGCCGCGAAAGAATACATCCGTAATTAACGTTTGATAGCAGTTTCGCCAATTTACGTGACGTTAAAGTTTCATGCGGTGTAATTTATTAAAGCTATCTATTTCTAGCACTAGCGTAGAAACTTGAAGGATCACGAGCAACAGCAGGAGACGCTCAGCCGATGTTTATATCTTATGCACAACTTAGGCTCACGAGCATTTTTCGTAGACAAAATATGTCTTTCATAACCGCACCTGCATCGCCTGACATTCAGCTAATTAAAAAACGGGCATTCCGCTCACACTGATTTGAAGAAAGCACGTGCACGGATTGCGCTGCTGCTCAACCATCCCGGCATAATGGCGCCACGTCATTTCACCCCCCCCCCCTGATTACATCCAGTAAACACGCGCTGGATTACGCCTATCAGGTCACCATCTCACACAGAGCTGTCTAAAAACCACAAGCCGCTAGTGCCGCGACGGCTCGCACGAGTGGCACCTGGGGCGCCAGCGGTGCCGCCTGACCTTTGGCCTCGGCAGGATTCCTTGCCGCCGCCACAATCTGCTGACTGAAGTGGACAATGATAGAAGTGCCTCTGAAAGGACAGTGACGAGTCGTCATGCCTTACCGGCGAGTAAATACGAACAGCATCAGCACAACCGTATGAGTGATGCCTGACATGCAAACATGGATGGCCCATCCTTTTTAGTGTGAGTCACACGTGTTCGGCAGGTTAACGTGCACAGGAGGACTGGATCCGATTGATGATCTTCACCAATCCCACAATATGTCAACTGACTTACTGGCACCTTTCAAAGTCACAACGCATTTGATTCTGTCCGGCTCGTCGTCGCTCGCACGTATGGTTGCTACAACTTCCGTGCACCTTAGTTTTTTGTCTTCCCCATGATTTTGTTTTCATTTCGTATCGTTCCGACACATTATTCCTGCGCAGCCCGTGCAAGACTCTCCTCCTCAACAGCCGATCCCCTGCGTCGTCACACCGGCCGGGGGCGGTTGCATGGGCGCCAGCTGACAGTTATCGCCCCAACCCGCGCAGCTGCGGCCGCCGACGCCGCCAGCGGCGTCTGCGGTTCCCCTTCCGGCCCCGTCTTTGTCCGACCGATACGGGGGGGGGGGGGGGAAGGGAGGGGCGGCGTGGAGTAGAGCGGGGGTGGAGACTGGCCGGCCAGGCGCCAGTCGTGACCATGGCCCGGCGCATGGCGGCGGCGCTCTGCGTCCTGCTGGCGGCGGCGGCGGCGGTCGGCCGGGCCGCCGCGCCCCTCGGCTGCCTGGACCAGGACGGCGCGGCCGTCGACTGGTATGTGCTCTACAAGCTGCCACGGCTGAAGGACGCCGACGACGCGCTCGTGCAGGCCGGCATCGGCTATACGCACTTCTCGTCGGCGGCGACGACGGGCGCGCTCTGGACCCTGTCGGAGGTGGCGATCAACGACAGCAGCTCGGCGGCCGGCCGCACGCTGGCGCCCGTCTACGCCAAGTCCGAGCGCAAAAGCCTGCTGTACGTGTTTTACAACGACGAGAAGCCGGACGGGCCGACCTCGTTCGACAAGGGCCACACGAAGGGCGTGGTGGCGTTCGACGGAGACTCCGGCTTCTGGCTGGTGCACAGCGTGCCGCACTACCCGCCACCGCCGGGGCAGCCGTACGACTACCCGGACACCGGCGAGCGCTACGGCCAGAGCTTCCTCTGCGTCACGCTCGCTGGCAGCCAGGTGGAGACGGTGGCGCAGCAGCTGCTCTTCAACGAGCCCTTCATCTTCGCCAGCCAGCTGGCGGCCGACCTGGCCGCCCGGTACCCGCTGATGGAGCGCGTCGTCCAGGGTGACGTCCGCTCGCGGACGCCCTGGTTCAACATCGCGCCCCTGGCCACGCCTGGCGGCCAGCCGTTTGTCAGTTACGCCAAGGCGCGCGCCTTCGGCAAGGACCTGTACGCCGACTTGGCGGCGCCGGCGCTGCGCACGCCGCTGCTGACCGAGACCTGGATGAACGGTCCACACGACGAGCGCATCCCGTCCGACTGCGAGCTGACGTACCCCGTGCAGAACGTGCAGAACATCACGGTGGTGGCAGCGCGCGGCGCGCCGGCCGGCGGCCCCCGCTTCACCATCGCCTTCACCAGCACGCACGACCACAGCAAGTGGGCCGTCTCCTCGGAGGTGGCGCGACCCTGGGTCTGCGTGGGCGACATCAACCGCATGACGACGCAGGAGGAGCGTGGCGGCGGCACCGTCTGCCACAGCAGCTCGCTGCTGTGGCACCTCTACTCGCAGCTCGTGGAGCAGGTGGAGCCGTGCGCCGGCAAGGAGCCGGTGAACGTGTACCGGCGCCGGCCCTAGGGCGGCCCCGAGCGGTGCCTGCCGCCGGCAGACCGGCCGCCGTACTCCGCGGCTGGCTCCGGAAGCTGCAGCCGAATTACAGCTCAACCGGTCTCGTGCGACATGCCGGGGCGAGCTCGTGGTCTCGTGCGAGGCGCAGGGGCGAGCTCGTGGTCTCGTGCGAGGCGCCGGGGCGAGCTCGTGCTATTGCTGGCGGTGTTAACACGATCCAGGCAATTGAACCGACGCGCCCTGTGGTGCATTTCGCGGAGCCTCCGAGGCCATTGATTGATTTAGGAATGCTTCGGCGGCTCATTCAGTGATCGCCTGGTATGCTGACTGATGCCGTCAAGACAATTACGCCAGGAGAACCATGCGGTGTTGTTTACCCAACAGCTCCAAATCGACTGCGAGACAACCGAGCAAGGCAGTGAAAGCGATAGCTCTTGACCTAGCATGTTTAAACACTACATAAACAATGCCACACTTGATTCCGTCATGCTACAAGCACTGTGTTGTCTTTGATGTTCATCTTTCAGGTGACGTAGAGCTTTCACGTAATTATGACGTTTATTGTATCACTGTCGTCGAATCAGCAGAGTGATTCCGACAGGCCTCAATAAGCATCGCTAGATCGGTTGACAACCATGGTATTTGATGATGTTTTTAAATATACCATGGTGTTTGCTGAACTCACATAACATTGACACAAATCTTTTGTATTACGAGTAACCAGATCTTACGGGCCAGATATGATTAACGCCTGTGGGTAAGTGAGACTATAATTGACCCGTTCGCTAGGTTACTTGACGGCGGATTGAAATTTCGGATCATATGTAAGCACACGAAAAGCAACAGATGTATAAGGACCACTGTTTCAGGAGCACCGAGGAAATCTTACACACGCCGTCGACGTATTTGTCGTTACACTGGTCGTTATCGCCTATAACCAGAACATCGAGCTTCTCAAACCAAGAGGGATATCTCAAGACAACCTGACTAGTAAACATCAAACGTTACCATCAAAATGAGGCGCGTAGGCAGAAAAACGGCAGGCATATTGACGATCGGACAGACTGATGAATAAACAGACAGGTCAACTGACCGACAGGTCGGCAGCCAAATTGATGAACAGGCTGACATAATGACAGACCGTGACAAAGAAACAAACAGATCTTCATGTTGACGGACTGGCAAGTAGGCCGACAGATTGACTGCCCGATATGAGTCGTCGGTAGGACAGACAGGACGGGACAGACGGACAAGCCGACAAACAGGCCGGTAGATCGACATCCTGACCGACAGACACAGACAGACAAACAGACAGACAGACAGACAGAAAGACAGACATACAGACAGAAAGACAGACAGACAGACAGACAAACAAACATACATACAGGCAGACAGCCAGCCAGACAGACAAACAGACAGACAGACAGACAGACATACAGACAGACAGACAGGCAGGCAGGCAGACAGACAGACGAACAGAAAGACAGACAGACAAACAGACAGACAGACAGACAGACAGACAGACAGACAGACAGACAGACAAACTACTAGACACTCACCAGACGCGCGTCTCCTTGGTCCGGACGGCTTCGGCCCGGGCCCGGTCCTCTGACGTCACGATGCTGGGCCTGATCACGCGGTTCCGCGCCTTCTCGTGACTCGGACCGGTGGCCACGGTCTGCGGTCGATACTTGCCCCGAGGCACGGCCGCTGCCGAGCCAAAGGCCACAGGTGAGGCACGTGCCGGTGATGAGGCCTCGGAGCGGAGGGGGGGGGGGGGGAGGGGGAAAGAAGCATGCAGGACATTCCCTGATCGAAGGTGCGCTCAAGGAGAGACCGAGGTTGACATCAGGTCCCGCGTGTGAGGTTCTGACCCTGACAGGTGCAATGATATTTTGACCCGCTCCAACCCTTGTTGCATCTAACGAGTCCGACAGAGAAGTGCGGGACTTCAACAGCCACACAACCCCACGTAGCCACAACGAGGCTTCGAAACCGGTCGCAACCATCGTTTAGGTGATTGGTGAAAAACCGACATTGTCTCCACTGGTTCGGGGTTCTTCGTAGATGGTTATTTAAAACAGTTGATGAAAATGTGAACAGTTATCTGTGTTACAAAAGATGCCAGGTTTAGGTTTAAGCCAACACCAAGCTCCGGTGCCCATTCGGATATCAGCTATACCATCAGGTGTTAGTTGATCATTCACAAAAAGGTGCCCACATTTACCATTCAGGTGCCCGTTATATCATCAGAAGTATTCTCTTTTAAAGATTTGATCCGAATCCTTTCAGTGGATGGATTTCTGGGATCAGAGTTCACGGCAGAGTTTCATTCGACGCTAAGCAGCGCTTGTTGTGTAAGCCCTGACCGTTACCATTCGATGGCCCAACCCCAAGCAACGGCACAATTTAATGGCAAAATTAACCGTGCCGCAATCCTAAGCACAGTCCGTCCTGCCCTCTGACATCAACTAACCTTTAGCGCGACCGCTGCCACCGGCCGCGGACCATGCACGTCAAGGCCAAACAGCGAGCGCCTAAAGCGACTCGAACCCACCCCGCCACGGTGGGTGGATCGGAAGGCAGGCGCTCTAAGCAATTGAGCCTCTGAACCACTATTGACCACTGTACGGGCGTATTCTAATTATGAAGACGCTTTGTTCAGATTCATGCTTCCCTCCCGCACGAGGTTCTAGCTGCGCAGTTGTCCTGGCTATATCAAGCCACCACCACAGTACGGTGGCCAGGTGGTGCGTGTCTCAGACACGGGATATCGCCCCCTCCCCGGCAAGACGCCGACTTTTCTCACCAGGTTTCGGCAGGAGACATACCGCGTCGGTTACCATGCGCGGCCAGCACCGCCATTCAGCATTGATGGTCATGACCAAGTTCGATGGCTGTGACCGCAGTTTTAGATTGTCTTCGCTTTTTTCTGCGCAGCGAACTGCCTGTCGTGGCGAGTGCTTTGTACGTTGGGCGACTTATGCGATTACCGTGCTCATAAGGCCATTACTCTACTTAGCAGCTGAGCAAAATGCTGCCTTGGATGTCAAAAGGTTATGAGGTTCGGTACTGAGCAACTGATAACGAATCTACCCGAACGAACTCGCAGAAAACGAATTCGCCTACTCATCACCAGAAACCGGGCAGTAAAGTGCGTCTATATCCGCTCATGCGTCTCAATCGTCTAAATTTTACGAGAATTGACATTTTCAAAAGCTGTGTCAGCAGATAGGTGACAATTATAGTACCGTACCGGTGTCAGCTGAGCTGAGCGAGCTGTCCTCATTCCCGGATCGTCTTCCAACGCTGCCGTACAGCCTGTGTGGCGCCAGGAACTTTTTCCTGGGGTACGGCGCCGCGCTGTAGGCGGGCACCAGGTCCTCCCGCTGCACCATGTACTTCAGCATCCCCGAGCCCGACTCCCGTGCTTCCGTTTGCCAGCCGCCGACCGCTGTCTGCGTCTCCGACTCGCGCACGGCGGCCTTGCCCGCCGGTGGCGCCGTCTGCTGGGCGCGCTGGTGACGGCCCCCTCGCGGCCGCCGCTGAAGTCGAGCCGGTCGTGGCTGGACCAGGAGCCGGAGGCTGCGGCCGGCGCCCGGCGCGCTGAGCCAGGCGTGCGCCGACGACGTCTGCTTAAGCGGCGAGCGCAGCGTGCACTTTGCCAGCGGCAGCGCCGAGCGGCGCCGCTGCGCGAGTCCGCGCGCGCTTGGCTGCTCGCGCCGCTGCGACTCGGACGGCGACTTGCGCGCCAGGGGGCGCTGCGCGGGCGGCTCGGGACCGCGACCGTCGAAGCGCGTCACGCTCACGTGCCCGCCGGCGGCGACCACGGCCGGCCGCACGCACCGCTCCGCCACCACTACCTCCTCCTCGTCGTCGTCCTCCAGCGTGACGGTCTTTGGCCGGCGGAGGGCGGCGGCGGCGACGGCGCGCGCCGCCGGCCGGACGCGCCCTGCCGAGCGTGGCGTCACTGTCCGCGGCGCCGGCGCCCTCCGCCGGCCGGGCTGCGGATGACCACGCGGATCGGCTCGTCGGCGGGCCGACGAGTCGTCAGTGAAGTCGTCGTACAGCGATGAGAACTCGTCCTCGGCGCCGGAAACGAGCTGCAACGACTTGTCGGCGCGCTGCGCGCCGGTGCGGTCGTCGGTGCGCACCTTCTGGTCGTCGGTGAGGTTGTGGCGGCGCGGCGTGTCCCACGGAGCGTCCGTCCAGACGGTCTTGCGCTCGTCGCGCTGGCGCGGCGAGCCCCCAGGCGCGCTCCGAGCTGCCTGAGGTGGAGGCGGCGCCGCGGCCCCGAGGTGGGCGTGAGCGCGGGCCCGAGCGCGCGGCGCCGCCTCCGCTTCGCGCTGCGCGTTCAGCCGCTCGTTGACAGAGCGCAGGAGCTCGGTCACGGCCGGCGGCCGGCGGCGTGCGCCGCCGCTCGTCGCCACCACCGCCGGCGACGCCGGCAACGGCCGCGCGGCCCGCGCCGCGGCTACGTCCGCGGCGGCGGCGCCGGCGCCGGCCGCTGGATCTTCCCGACCCGGCTTCGCCGCCGGCGCCGTGGTCGGTTCGCGGCACGCCCACGGGCCGGCGCGCCGCCGGCCGCGGCCGCTCGCGCAGCGAGACGCCCGACCGCAGCACGGACAGGCCGGAGCGCGCGCCTGGCCGCGCTAGCTGGCTTAGTAGAGGGTGTCACCGCCGGCCGCACTGTCTTGTCCGTGCGCAGCGGCGAGCTCGACTCCACGCTGCTCGTTAGCGGCCGCTTGGACGGCGTGCGTAGCTCCAGAGGACGGATGCGCGCCTCCTGGGAGAGCGGATGGGCAACAGCGATGACATGCGATGCGATGACAACAGCGATGGGAGCGGAGACAAGTTGGCCTTTGGGCTCCTATTTCACCATACCAGATGGGCGATATAATATGCATTGAATGGGCTTACCCGCCGTAAAATTCCCGTAAGGAGTTAGCATCTGCCTGCAAGCCGGTTACGCCGGTATAGATGCCAGCCAATTAATATATGATCTCATGCACGCTCTCCAAACCAACCGCGAAAATTTGGCGATTTTGCACCATATAAATAACAGGCCAACATAAGCAACATAGACTATGGCAATGCACAGGCTCTCATCGACCCAGACCACTGGTGATGCCAGATGGCGTTACCTCCGGAAGCGGGACGGTCTGGGGCATGTCGATCCTGTTGGTGAGGATGTTGTACATGCCGGCGATTGTCATCGTACATCTGCCTTCAGAACGCGCTCCTCTATCAGCTGCGGTTGATGGAGAGGATGTCGGACATCTGGTGAATGGCCTGCGGCATCACGGGAAAAACATCCAGTTCTTCGACGCAGCAGTCGACAGTGCTATTCACCCGCCCTGAATGAAAATCGCGAGGTTTGTCCGGAAACACAAACATACCGACGTCTTGCGAGGCCCAGTTCGGTGTCGCAAGGCGCAACGCAAACGCGTCCCTAATGTAGAGGTACGGTTATTTACCTGCATCAAGAACATACTACACACTGGTGCAGTGAAACGTGCTCAGCAAACTGAGACCGGTGTTCAAATCTTGCACATTCCGTCAGAATTTCACTATTTCTATGTCGCGACAAGCAGGGCTTGAGGCGCGGTACCAATGACCTAGCAGTGACCAGCTCTACTGCTTGCCCGCTTCAATGCACACATAGCATGACAAGTACCACAGCAGCGCCGGCCGTGCCCTGCTAACCTGACATTGCCGTCTCGGCCGGTATAGATGCAGCAACACCAACACGTCAGTATCACCCCGTCGCCTACGTCACGTCTAGCGTCACACCACCAGCCGTCCGGCGGACGGAACGGGGCGCGGCCGTCCCGTCACGTGACCAGGGCAGCAGCTGCGTCTCGAGGAAGACTCCCGGGCAACCAGACAACCGCGCCGCTGTCCGCATCGACCCAACGGATGAAACATGCAAACGGCGTGTGTCGGTCGCACTGCTGTCGTCGCCTGCGCTTGGAGTGTGGCTGCCACATGTGGTCAGCCTATCAGGCCCGCGGTTGGAGTGTGGCTGCCACATGTGGCAAGCCTTTGAGGCCTGCGGTTGGAGTGTGGCTGCCACATGTGGCCGGCCTATGAGGCCTGCGGCTGGAGTGTGGCTGCCACATATAGCAAGCTTCTGACGTAGTGAGAGCCAGCGGAGAGGAGGACTGTGCGAGTACGCGTGTGGCCAATATCGCAGTTACTGTTGCCAATCTGATAACTGATTTGAGCCGTACATCGTGCGGACTGAGTCATGCACGTATCACCAAGATTCTGCTACTAGCCACTGGCCCAGATAACCACTCGATGTCGTTAAGCCCAGCCCCTTATTTGGTCGGCCCACTTATTTGGTATCCGCCGGTACAGAAAAAGTGTTCTGTTGTGACATCGCTGGAACTGACGTTGCTCTGGCGACTGCTTCCAACGAAAACCTGCGTTGCACATTTGTATCCAAGTTTGCCTTGGTGACAAAATATCGGGCATGTTTGGTGTCACATATCGAGCTTGTCTTGGTGACCACTTATTGAGCATATTTTGATGACGAAATATTGGGGATGTCTTGGTAACGAAATAAAGTGAGGAACGATTTGCCACGTCTGTTTGCGTATTAATTCCAAGAGACATGGTGGCTGCCATGCGTCATGTCAGCGGCGAACAATGTCTTACTGATCATGTGCCATTTCACAGGTAAAGAGGAACGCTCACACTGTTGTGTAGCTGATCGACAACAGGGGTCGATCGATGGGATGTGTATGCAGCTGATCGGGATGGGATGTGTAGTGTAGCTGATCGGGATGGGATGTGTAGTGTAGCTGATCGGGATGGGATGTGTAGTGTAGCTGATCGGGATGGGATGTGTTGTGTTGCGTTTCTTACTGTCATGTGCCATTTCACAGGTTAAAGGGGCTCTCACACTGTTGTCGTGTAGTTGATCGGGATGGGATGTGCTGTGCGTTTCTTACTGATCATGTGTCATTTCACAGGTTAAGAGGGGCTCTCACACTGTTGTCGTGTAGTTGATCGGGATGGGATGTGCTGTGTTGCGTTTCTTATGATCATGTGTCATTTCACAGGTTAAGAGGGGCTCTCACACTGTTGTCGTGTAGTTGATCGGGATGGGATGTGTTGTGTTGCGTTTTACGATCATGTGCCATTTCACAGGTTAAGAGGAGCGCTCACACTGTTGTCATGTAGTTGATCGGGATGGGATGTGTAGCGTAGTTGATCGAGATGGAATGTGTAGTGTAGCAGATCGGGATGGGATGCGTAGTGTAGCTGATTGGGATGGGATGTGTAGTATAGCTGATCGGATGGGATGTGTTGTGTAGCTGATCGGGATGGGAGGTGTTGTGTTGCGTTCGTCGCATTGTTATGAATTTCATGGTTTGGAGCTTTGCGTATTACAGGTTGAATAGCGATGCGAGTCTTCTTCCACATGAACCTCCCCTTGGTAAATAACCACTATACAGCAAAGATTGGACAGAAATAAAATTGTCCCGACTGTATGGTGTGGCCGTTGACTTTGTGGGGACGCAAAGACACTTATGAAATTTGAATCATATTTGTGATGCCAATTATTGGACATCAAGTTTTGCTTAAGTCTTGTTCGAGAGCAAACAAGGCCCAACTGGCGTGTGTGTCGCGTGTCCCTACGTTCACGTTACAGGGCTACTGCGTGACTGTATTTTGGATGGTTTGACCGGTCGCTTCCAGTCTCAAAGCAGCCTTTCGGCAGCGAGCTGGCCACGTTACCACCCTCCCTTCACGATTAATACGTCGGTCACGCTCTCGCGAAAAGCAGACTTAATTAGCTCGTCGTCGTGCGCGCGATCCACGCATTATTCACCAGCAGACAATGCCGCGGGAAATAATACACCTCCTAAAGAACAGAGCGCGGATGCGTTAGCCACTGACAGCGCAAACACAATGATGAGACGGGGAGCGCGGAGGTGAAAGCATATTGCTTGGCTTTTGGCTACGAACATTCACGTAATATGTCGGGTCTTGCCCTATTTTGCGCTAGAATTGTGAGACATACGTGTTGAGCGTAGTGCCCGCGAATCTGTTGAGGAGAGTGGGGCCTTCAGTTTATTTCTTCTTCTTTTTGTTTAGTGAAATTCTCAGAAAATGACGACATGCTTTTCTGATCAAAACTTTCATCCTTAGGCTTCCAGCCAGTGGAATGAAGATTCTGCACATCGGCACGCTATTATCATAACGGTTTTTGTCACAGCCCTTAGAGTTACAGCCAAAGACAAAATGCCAAATCGACCATGTTCGGCGTGCAGAATTTGGACGCTGAAAAGCACTCTTGGTACGCAAGTTCTATGTTTATTCTAAGCAAATACAAAAGGAGCACCCGACCCTTGTAAGCGCATCGCCTGCATATATCTTTCACTCGTAAACCAAAATAGTCATACCAAATCAATTTCGCTTTTAAGTTAGGAGATGAGCTCCGACCTCGCGTCAGAATCACACAGCTAGTTTCCTTTTCCTGTACAAAGGGAGGTAGGCATGCTTAAGGGGGCGAGTCCCAAAACGTTTACATATTCACCTTTACCAGACCAAACGGAAATATCGATAAAAACAGACTTTCAACCCCGGTAAGTCGGAAAAAGTGTAATGCTGATGATGATGGCGTAGTGTAGTGAGATAAGGACAGATAATACATTCTTTCTAAAAATAGAGACAGGCGATGGCTTGGTCATCGACCACAACACGCACACTCAACGTACATAGCAACCTAATGCTTTCGTATTGACTTTACACACGGTAACATAAAGTCGGCTTGTGGTAAGTGGTGCGGCATGTGTTAATAAGGTTGACAACA